TACATCATTCTATTTATTTATTTTGCACAGTGTGTCAAACAAAAAAAAGCAAACAGCAACTGTGTGGAATTAAGCAGTAAGTAAATAGCTTACTTATCATTTTCCCACCTAAACTATGGATCCCTGGAGCCCCTAAGTAAGTCATGGTGAAGATTCACAGTTATCCAGGTCATAGTCATTCTAAAAAGTTTGAAGACGTTTCACTTCCCATCCACACTGCAAAAATGATCTCAAAATTAGTAAAAAATGTCTTAAATTAAGGGTATTTACCCTTAATTTCAGCAGGTAAATAAGATGATTTGCCAATGGAATGAGTATTTTTACTCTTAAAATAAGGTATCTAGATATTATGCACTTGAAATAAGACAATGCAGTTGTTTATTTCTTTTTTTAAGTGTAAATTGTCTTGTTCCATTGGCAAAGTGTCTCACTTAAATGCTTAATTCAAGAAAAAATGCACTTATTTTAAGAAAAAATGACTTATTTAGATTTCATTTTTTTGCAGTACAGGAAGCTTTTTCAGTTCAAAATGTCAGAAAGAGCATTAAGTTCAAGTCTTTTTAACGAGACTTTATTGATCCACTCTATAACGCCTGAAACTTAATGCTATTTATGACATTTTGAATTGAAAAAGCTCAAATGTCTTTGAACTTGGAAACAAAGTCCAGTGGATTGTTTTTTTTTTTTTTTTACTTTTTTGGAAAACCTAAGTTAGTTATTCTTTCTTGAATTAAGTGCTTTGTTTTTATTGAATTGAGCAAATTATTGAGACACTTTGCCAATGGAATAAGACAGTTTACATTTAAAATAAGAAAAAAACATCTGCAGTTTCATCTGCATATCATCTAATTATCTCATTATAAGAGTAAAATATTCATTCCAATAACTCAAATTAAGGGTAAATACACTTATTTTGATTAATTTTTATCAATTTTAGAAGGTTTTTACAGTGAGGCTGCTACTCTGATCAGTTCTCTCCCTTTGGATCTTTTAGTTGGTTCTGATTTCCATGTCTTTTTGGTTTTGCTGTCATTTCATGCTCCTAATTAGGAGACTTCTGAAGGGAATTTATGAAACAGAAATTTAATAGGGGTTCTCACTTTTAGGATGTTTTTGGTCCATGTGGGACTGAATAAAAATATAATTATACTAAAATAAAAATGTGAAAAGTTTTGAAGGGTTTAGGATTCTTTTCTTAGTTTTGTTCATTGACAGAATGACTTTCAGGTGAGATTTTTTTTTCTCTTTCCTGTTGAAAATCAGAGCATGCTGATGTTGTATGGGAAATGATTTCCGTCCTGATCCAGGAAAATATTTAATCCGGCTGGAGGAAGCCAGGAATTTGTCTTGCAGATGTTTTTTTTTTTAAGGGGGGGGGGGGGGGGGGGTGATTTTTTTTTTAAAGCCTATTTATGACTCAGTTATATGGTTCCTGCAGAAATCACAACATGCCACATGAAATCCAGCTATTTCTCTTTAATACTCTCTGTTGAAGGTAAATTAAATTATGACAGCCTGTTTATAGAGATCTACCAAGAAAAGCGCAGCAGCTTCTTATATAAAACAGGATCAACTAAGCTGTGCAGCAGCAGCCTAGAAAGTCGTGTCTGTTGCGCACTGAGCTACTGCTATCATCAGCCCTGCTTGATGAGGGAGTCTGGGCTGTTTTGCTGTTGTGGACTCACCCCATGTGTGCTTTATTACCTCATCTTCTCTGCTGATTTATGGCTGCTGTGACGGCCCACTTTTCTGGGCTGTTTATATGTGCTGAAGATGAAAGAAAATCATGGCTTTATTACCTAGACCTAGTGGGTCTGTTTACAAAGCAGGGGGGCTCAGTGGAGAGCTGCAGCACCTGCAGCTCACATTTCTGCTCTGCTTTTTTTAGAAACACCACAGCGTGTGCAGACTTTCACCTGAAATATACAGAATATTAAATATTCTTTGCTGCAAGAAAATCATTAGTCTGCTCCTGATGTGGACAGGTTAACCTCCTGACTCAAACCCTGAAGAGGAAGCTTAGTGTTTATCTGAAAAAGGATTCCTTGCTCTGTTTTCCATGGACAGTAACCCCAAATGTAACTCAAGGCTGGGTTTAGATGCTTCTGTCCTCTAAGCTTCATATTTACATCTGCAGTCTGAACATCTGCTTGCCTGTAGCGCCACCCTGTGGAGAAAAAATAAATAACAATGAAGCTTATGATGATGACAGCCTGCATCCCCAATTTATTTTGCAAACTATATGGAAAAAAAACCTGCAAACTCTTATATTTGTGATTCTCAGTTTATAAGATTAGAGTCGGGTTTCTGCATATTTTTGAATTTCTTTTTTGCAAGAAGTTGCATGCAGTCTTTGTGCATCAGTTGGTCGCCTACGGTTACTTCAGCTTCCAACCACAGGTCAAGAACAAGGCTATCAGTAAAGGGTCATGTTATCTGCTGAGCAGAAGTAGGTGGCAACTAGTTACATTTAATTTAACCCTGTAATGCCAAATGTATCATATTTGATACATACGGTTTCTAAAATGTTTTGCGTCTGACACCTTTTGCATAATTTAATGGTAAAATCTATGCTCAAAATCCTATTGTACACAATCAGATAGACCTGATAACAGAGGGGCAGAAGACTACACAAAAAATTATTTTGACTTATCGTATAGTAATAAATTATTTATATCAAAAATGCATTTCTGTTTTTTCTTTTTACATATTTTGTTAAAAGTCCAAATAAGAACTTCAAACCAAAAAAAAAAGTAATTTTCTGTTTTGTTTTATTCTTGGATCGGGCTTTAAAGGGTTAGAGAAGAAAAAAAATTGGAGTAGCTTTACAGAATTGTACTTTTTACTTTTACTTGAATTAAAATATAATAAAGTACCACTACTTTTACCTGAGTTAAATTTCTGGGTACTCCATCTGTTGTAACTTATGAAGAAAAATAAAAGCTTGTAAACAAATACGCACCACTGAGGGACACACTTTCTTCTTTGTACTGAAGGCATATTGTGTAAATTCTTAGTCATTTGGGTCCCATAACTGACTTTAACGTTTTCTGAAGACTTTGACACCTATTCAGGAGTCTTTCAGTTCAAAGCTTTTTGGTTAAATGTTATTTCCCATCTGCTGAGTGAAACTATTGATTTAATAACTTTATTTCCAATTTTATTTTATGTATAATTTTTATTCTTTGAAACACCAGCATTTGCATATAACTTAATATTTGGTTCAAAATGGGTTACCAGATATCACTGACTCGTGTTCAGCCCAAAAAATTTTCATAAACCGCCTGGATATACGAAAAATCTCACCCAATTTGAAAGTATTGTTCTCTTAGGACATAAATCTAAAGGAAAAATTTCCCCCCATAGACGGCCATCCTAAACTGCCAGATTGGGAAACATCCCAACCTGGCAACAATGCATGTAAGACAGGAAACGTTAGCCTTTAGATGCAAAACCCCATCATGCACCGCAACATATTTTTGCAAATAATTTGAAAATAAAATCTCCAAATATAAGAGGAGCATCGTAGTTAGGTTTAAAGAAAGCATTTTAGTTTTATTTTAATTTAGTTTGTTGAACGGATTTTACAGTTTGAAGAAATAGAAAATTACACCCTATGCCAACCGTCACAAGGATGTGCATGACAAGGAAGGGCTTTATATACTGCATGCATCATGAAGGTAGTTAATATTTTATTACTTATTTAGCTCCTTGAGTTATTTACTGTACCAGGTAGGAGCTTCGGCTGGAGAATAAGTATTGAGGCTGGTATGATTTAAGGAGGACCGGATCTCGCACACTGAAAATAGGACCGGCCCAACAGGCAAATGCCTGTTATTACAGATTACCAGTTCAAGCCTGGTTACACAGTACTTGAGTAGCCTTCTAACCAAAAACTTTTTAATCTAAAGTAATTTTTTTTTAAAGGCTTCTTTTTACATTTACTTCAGTAAAAATATGATGAAGAGGTGCTACTCTTAACCCTTTAAAGCCCAATCCAAGAATAAAACAAAACAGAACTTTTTTTTTTGGTTTGAAGTCCTTATTCGGCCTTTTAACAAAATATGTAAAAAGAAAAAACAGAAATACATTTTTGATATTAATAATTTATCACTATGCGATAAGTCAAGATTATTTTTTGTGTAGTCTTCTGCTGGCTGTTATCAGGTATATCTGATTGTGTACAATAGGATTTTGAGCAAAGTTTTTACCATTAAATTATGCAAAAGGTGTCAGACGCAAAACATCTCAGAAAATGTATGTATCAAATATGATACATTTGGCATTATAGGGTTAAGTAGTTTTGAATCAATTCTGCTGCTGTATCATACCTATGTGCATAGTTTGTCAACCTGTTGGTCTCTGCCTCTTCAAATGACCACCGGAGAACGAGAACGGTTCTAGCCCTCCAATGATAGATACGTCCCACAAAGGGGAAGGCACATGTCTGGACTTTTGATCATATTATATAAAAATCACATCCATTGATTTGCCTTTCCATCCTAACGTTAAGAAAATGTGGAAGATTTGCTCTATTTCCTGCACAACCCGACCAATATGTGTTTGGGCCCATTAAGGATTCTTACTCAGACTAAATGGGTAGTAGGATGATTGGGCTTCTTAGATGAGAGTTAAATCAGGTCAGATTGAGCAACGTGTTTGGAGCCATATGGTTCCCTTTTAGGAAATTAGCGTGAGGCCATCATATAACCCATAAACACCCCTGAGGCTCACGTGTAAAATGTTTGCTGGGAAGCCTGAGAAAAAAGGGAAAATAACGGTCTGCCATCAGGGGTATTAAAGAAATTAAGTCTGGAAATACATTTTCCTTTTAAATACCAATAAATGTAATGTTTACATTAGGCCTTAGAGCCCTGTATGAATGTTAGTGAGGCTTCAGAAGAAAATATGGCAAAAGTCAACGCAGAGGATTCAGCTTAAGCTAGCCGACCATTTTCACTCAGGAGTTTTCTGAAAACAAAAAAAAGAACACTTCTCGATTAAATTAAGTTTATAATGTTCATTAAAAGCAAATAGATCCATTACAGCATGTTATCTTATTTTATTAGCCAGTAGTGCAGATTAACTGTGATGTAGAGTACAGCTCCATTTTTCCTAAGATAACACGTCAGACACCTTAACAACACAAACACCTACAGGCCGGTCAGTCATGTTTGCAAAGAAAATGGGAAAAAAGTGACAAATACATGAGCGTTTTCCACTGAGCTTCCTACAGCTTTAAAAGAAGCATGGAAATGGTGCAGATAACCTCAGATCATGTATAAAATGGAGACGATCTTAGATTAATACCCTTTAAAAGGCATTTCAAAGAGTTTCTAAGATGAGTAAAACTGTAAGAAGTGATTAAAATAGGCAGGTATGTTAGGACAGTGCAGAGCGTAAAGTCTTTGTTTGCGTTTTCTGTTTCATATAATTAAAGCATGCAAGCAAATACAAAACAATATTCTGCAGAGAAGAGATGAATAAAGAAAAGATTTTGACTCATGTAGATCCTTCTAATCTCTTGATTCTGATTCTACCCACTGATTTGCTTCCCCCCGTCTCAACAGTTTGCACCCAGTCTGTCCAACAGTGAATCATAACTGCACAGAGACAGAGGGGATAAAGAAAAACACAACATCGACAGATCTTAACCTCCCACACAGAAAGCTGCTTCCTACTAATAGAGCGGATAGTGTTTAGACAGAGGAGGAGGCTGATGTAGTGAAATATAACCCGTCACTGCAGAGCAGCTATCATTTAAAAAGAGGGGGAAACTGACTGATGCAGCAGACGGCGGCCAACAATAGTTTCCTATATATTCATGATGAACTGCGCTGCGGATGAAGGTTATTGTTCAACTGCTGAAGTCGGGTGAGCTGAAGGCGGAAGCTGAACCACAGATCATGATATCCAGAGGGGTTTTTGTTTGCGCTCAGGCAGCGAGCGGCCCCAGCCTCAGCTCCACATGGTGGCTGAGCCAAATGGGCTCAGGGGGGGCGTCGCCTCCCTCCTCGCTGGGCCGGATGGGAGCCGCCAGGTTACGGAAGTCGTGCCGCATCCTGAACGTAACGGTGACGTCTGCGTCTTCTTCTTTCTGAGGGATCACTTTGATGAAGAAGCCGATCTTGTTGGACTTCCTGAAGGCAACGATGCTGCAGAAAGGACAGAGGTGATGAGAAGAGTCCCCTAGCTCTGATGCTACGTTCACACCTGAAGCAGCAGGAGCAGCTAGTTTACATGCAAAGTCAATAGTTGACGCGCATCAAGGCGCAGCAAAATGTCCCGCAGCGCGTTTTGAGCAGCAGGAGCAGCGCGTCATGAGCTACTGAGCATCTGAGACGCGGAACGCGCTGCAAACGTTTGCTGTACGACGCGCCACATCAACCAATCAGAGAAGCTGATCTGGGAGCTGGCAGGTAGACAGACACATCGCTGATGATACAGATCACTATGATCACTCCTCTGAAACGGTTTATTAACGTCTAAATTAGGGGTGGAACGGTTCACAAAATCCACGGTTCGGTTCACGGTTTCGTGGTCACGGTTTTCGGTTCGGTATATGTTGATTGTTAGCCTGACATGTTGGTCGTGTTGCTGTTAGCATAAACAATATCTGTTGCACAATGCTTGCACACTGTTGCACTTTTATCCACAACTTTCTTTCCGCCGTCATCGTAGGTCACTCTAAATGCAAAGTGGTCCCATACAGCAGACCTATAAAGTGCTGCTGGCGCGTCTTCCAACTCCTGTTCTTTCCCACTCGCCATTCCGACACAATTCTCCACAACAACTGATTTTTTTTCTGCTACACTCGGCTACGCTGCTTTGCTTCTTCTTCTTCTTGTTTACTACTGGTGGTTGGCTTTGGTCGCAGTACCGCCACCTTCTGCTCTGGAGTGTACGCGCTTCGCCTATGAGAAAAAGCAGCAGCGCATGAACCGAACGCAACACACGCGAACCGAACGGTTCGGACGGTTTTCATAAACCGTTCCATCCCTAGTCTAAATTAACTTAAAATGCCAATATCTGCCGGTAAAACATGTTTACTTTTATTATCCTGGTGCCTACAGTTTGAATTACGTACATAAAAACACCTTCCAGCCGCTGAGGCAAACCGCAAAGAGACAACCGAGCCATAGGCAGCTGTTGAATGGTATTCCTACTGACAGAGCACCGTCGGTATGTGGGGGTCTGAGCGGCTACGACAAATAATATTTGAAGGCAGAATAATCACGATGAACTGATTGCAGCGATGAAGTTTTCAGGTGAACTTTCTCACTTAAAAACAAATTAAAACTACTTTTTACCCACTGATCACTGCAAATATAGCTGCCATTGTTACAGGCAAAGAAAGGATAGAGTAGTTCCGCCCAACGCGCATCAGAACCACTTTTGCACCGCGCAGCGAGAGCAGCAAAGATGCTTCAGCCTCGCGTCAGAACTAAAGTTGTAGAAGCATAAAAAATGAAGCAGCACGCGCGTCCTTGCTACTTTTGCTGCTTGTGGTTAGCCTGGGTGCCATTCCGAACTTAGTCCCGCCCACAACGTTTGAGGTCGGGAAGTTCGGTCTGGCATTGCTCAATAGTAGCGCGAGTATGCTCGCACAATATCTGGTGGGCCAATCAAATTGTCAGGGCGGGCTTTATACGATGACGGACAGATGATCAACAGTAATGTAATCAACCACGTCACCAAATCGCGCTTGGGTGACAACAACAATGGCTGCCGCTGGAGAGTTGAGGTGAGTAGATTCTGCTATTAGGTCTGTTCTAGAAGATATGGACAGCAAATTAATTTTAAAAGAGGAACAGAGAAACGCGATCAAGGCTCATCTTCTTATTCTAGGCGTGCAACTGCACGCTTTGATTTTTGTTGACAACAACTATGCGTTTCTTAACATACCTCACGCACTCTGTTGCTCTTATTGGTTGTAGGTTTATCCAATTGAGTGCAGAGGCATTTTTTTTCCTGGTTCGTTCGAAACACGCCCCATAATCACAGCTCTATGGAGCAGTATCAGACTCATATTCTGACTAGAATTGACTAGGACTACGTCAGGCTAGCTTGTGGTGTAAACGTAGGTAACAAGGCTTCAGAGAGTGAAGGTCAGAGAGGTTTACTCACTCTGGATCGTCCTGGAAGTCCTGAGGTTCAGCCAGCTCATCGTATTCGGCTGCAGCATCCTTCCCTGCTAAGACCAGTTCCTTACTGGGAACCAGAACCTGAAAAGGAAAGAGCTTTAAGGACATTATTCTGATACACACGTTTTCAGATGTTTTCTTATAGAGAAACAAGTGGAGGTTTTTAACTCATACAGCTTAGGGATGGACTGATACAGTTTTTTTAAAGTCGGTTTCCATTATTCTGACATCAAACAGACTCCTAAGAGCTTATAGTGCTTTTTCTTGTTGTACAAGTCTCTTTTTTAGCAAAACAAATATTTAACCATAAAAAACACAACAGCAGATTAAATATTGTAATAAAATGAACTACAACTTACTTTAAATTGCTAAAATTACCACCTTAAAGTGCAGCAAGCATTCAGGTTAGGCGGTTTATACTGTGCAACAGAATTCAATGCTATAAATAAATAAATTAACCCAAATCCGGGTCATTTATTCAACTCTTTTTAATCACATCATCCTGTAATTACACTGCATCACACATAGGGGGCGCGTACCACAGTTTAATAATATTTTAACTGAACTTTATTGATCTCACATTGGAAAAATTTACCTCTGCATTTAACCCATCCCCTTAGGAAGCAGTGGGAAGCCATCTTGTGGCACACGGGGAGCAGGGTGGGGTTAAGGGTCTTGCTCAGGGACCCAGAGTAGCAATATGTGGGAGCGCGGCTCGAACTCAGAACCTCAGGATTTTAAGCTCTATGCCCTAAACCACTAGGCTGCTACTCCCTACATAAATTCACTTGCACTTTATTTTTTAGCAAATAATCCAACATTAAACAACAAAACAACAATATCAAAACAAAACAAAACCAACAATTTACCAAAAAAAAAGGAATAGGCTGAAGCAAAGCTTATTATTGCCTACCCTGTTTTAAACTTACAACCTTTACAACCTACCAGGTACTTTACTGCCTATATAAATATTCAAATCTACATATCATAGGATTTTATCATTTTACATTTTAAAGCCCTTTTGAAATTCACCAAGAAAGGACATAACTTTAAATCATCATTCAATTCATTCCACATTTTCACACCAATAACATCTAGACTTTATCTGGCTCCTCTCTTTTGCACATTCAAATATAAACAAACCTCGCAAATTATATTTATTCTCTCTTAACTTAAATTATTTCTGAATACCAGAAGGAAGACTTATGTTCACTGCTTTATGCATTATTTCCAGTATTTTTATATAAACAATGTCTTTGAATTTTTATTTGTAGCTTTGAATTAAGTGTTTATCAGTTGGTTGATGGTATCCCACCTTATTAATAAGCCTTATAGCTTTTTTTTGCAACTTAACTAACTTATCAATAATTGTTTTATTTGTATTTCCCCGTCCTTCTGAACAATAAGACAAATAAGGCATAACCAAAGAGGAATATATAATATGCAGGCCTTTATTTTTAATTAAATCTTTTATTTTTAAATAATATTCCAATAGTTTTTGCAATTTTATTTCTAATATGTTCTATGTGAGGCTTCCAAATTAAATCGACGATGCATTCATATATCAGCCGATACAGATACAAGATAAAACCAAGAGCAGCCAGTAGATGTATCGGCCTGATATTTGACTCACATAGACACAGAAAATAAAGGCTGAGAATAGGGATGCACGATATGCCGATATTTTAAAACTCATGTAGCCAATAACCGATATCGATACTGATGTTAAAGCTGGACAAAAATAAGTAGTCATTGAAAATAGCAGTTTTGTTATCCATTTCTGACACTTTGAAAAATAATATACTCAAATATATTTTCATATGCTGATATCAAATTGATTTTTAAAAACGCGGTATCGATCTATTTTACTTTCAAAATCTCGTGAAATTTCATCGTTCTGTTACAAACTCTCGTGATATTTTGCAAATTCTTGTGAGATTTTGTTAGTAAAATAGATCGATACCGCGCCAATATATCAACATATAAAAATATGGCAAAATTTCGTGAATTTTCAGGGGATTTCGTAGCATAACGATGACATATAGCAATATTTCATTAGTAAAAGAGATTGATGTGGTGTTTTTAAATGGCAATATATCAGCATATGAAGATATTGTGATATTTTAATGTATCAATACTTATTCCCTCGTCTTTAGAAGTTTTTAAGTCTGTAAAAAATAAGTTTTTGAGGAAGAAGAAGTAGTATTTTTTATTTTTTTTTATTTTTATTTTTTTAGACTTTAGAAACTCAGAAGCGGGTTAAATATCGGTGGGGTGGCCGATGTCCAATATTCAGTTTTAAGGCCGATACAGGCCGATACCGATAGGGGGCCGATTATATCGTGCATCCCTAGCTGAGAACATTAAAATAATAAAAGCCTGTAAAAACTGGTCATATAGAGAATATTTCCTTTATATATTCATGTCAAACTAATGCCAACGTAGCAATAAATCAGGTCTATTAAACCCGTAGGTGACATCAGAGCATCTAAACCAGACCTTAGCGGTGCTGTTGATGGCATCAGGATCTTCTTCCTCACAAGCAGCCAGTGTGACGTGGGTGATGTTCTCCACGGGGTTGGTCAGCGTTAGCAGCACCTGGCTCTCCTATGTTAGCAGCACGGAGAGAAGAAAGGCAACTCTTAAATCTTAGAACTTTATCACTAACTTTAGACTGTATCTCATCTATTTAATAGACATTTTAAAAGGACAATTATTCAGTTTCCAGGCAAATTCTAAACATTAAATATCCACTGAAAATAAGGACCTGTAGTCTTAAAATGTTTTACAATTTTCAATCAAACCATGTTTTTACTAAAATATGTAAAAGATTTGAAAAATCTGCCAAAATTAGTCCTAAAATCACAAAAGTAACAGTAAAAACCTATGTTACTTTTCTCAATTTAAGCACATTTAAAACATCTTTGCACATTAAAGCTTGTAATGTCCATCAGTGCGTGTTGCAGTTTGGACCCTGACCGTGGCTAAAAGTAGCTCGTTTTATCTTTTTTTTAAGGAAGTTTTCCAGAAGGAAAAAACGTATACCAGGGTTCCTACAGCATAAGGAAAGTTAAATTCAAGACTTTTTAATGCCACTTGAAATAAAAATTTAAGACCAAATTCAAAAGAAACGAGAAAAACCTTCTTGCGACAACTTAACCCAAAGGTTTATTTTAACATAAACCACGGCACTAATATTTCAAATTTTGAAAAGCTTCCCATACAGGAAGAAAGCTAAAGACAAACAAATGACAGATATATTTTAACAATATTTAACTGAATTCACAAACTTTGTTTTAGCAGGGAACAAAACAAATCAGCTTTAAAGCCACAACATAACCAGTGCTAAGTCTTTTTGCAGCTATTTTTCTTTGTATAATTTTCTTAGTATGTTTAATTTGGTGATAAGTGGAGGCGTTGCAGAGACAAGGGTGGAACTAAACTGAGAAATATCGGCTGTTTCTCTGTAACTCTATTTTGACGCTTTGTGTTTCGTGCTTCGCATGAAATTCCCATCGTTCTGAGCTTGAATCACTTCTTGCACAAAACACTGTGTCCCGGCCGCAACGACGCATTTATTGGTTCCGCTATCAGGACAGAACCAATAATAGCAAGTTATTATTTGTTTTAAATAAAAAAAAAAGGGCCAATTTTAACGTTTTATTTAGATTACAAAACTAAATCGTAATAAAAATAATCCTATTTATAATGTTTTAAAAGTTAAGACCAACAAAAGACTGATTTCAGACATTTTAATACCAATTAAGGCCTTAGTTTTATTTTGAAGAATTCAATGCCTTTTAAGACTTTTTAAGGACCCGTGGGAACCCTGTATACTTCCCAACACAGGGCAGAGCAGGGCAGAGCAGGGCAGAGACTGACCTTCATGTGTCGGAGGTTGGGGATGGACATTATTCTTACTTCAGGGATGTAGCTCCTATTGGAGGGAAGCAGAAGAACCAGAAATTAACCGAAATCGTGTTAATAAATCAAATCCTCAGTCACTGAACTGCTCAAATTATTGATTATTAAACCGATTCTCTAAATGAAAACAATAAAATTTATTTCTGGCTGATTAAATCGGAACTTTTACAAATGAAATCTGTTCATTTCCAGAAGCTAAACATGCAATAATTCTTGAGCATGCATCTCCAGCTGCTCATTCGGTGTTTCCCACATTAACCCAATCAGACCCGAGGCTGACATCAACTTTGAACACAATGATTCTACTCACACAGCCACCAGCTGTATTTTAAACTTGATTGAAGTTGGATTAAACTCCGGTTTGCTCAGGTTGTGCTCGCATTTCTGAGAAAAGTAATTAAGAGAAACAATGTGGTACAAATTAGATCAGTCGTCCCCCCCCCCCCAACTATGTGCACACAGAGCTGTACTCACCCTGCAGCGCAGCGAGCGCTTCATCAACAGGTGTTTGTGTCTGGGGTGGAGCTGAGATGCTCCTGCAGGTTGGAAGTCCGGCTGCAGCAGCCTCTGGCGCAGCGTGGTCACTATAAACACACAGACAGTCGGCTCAGCAACCATCAGAAGCTGATCGAGGACCGCTTAGTGCCGACATGTCTTACCTTCAGGTAAACTGACGGGTCGGGTGTAACAATCCTCAGGCAGGGGCTCTACTTCATCAAGGGCCTGGGCCGGTTCTATGGTGATCTCCTTCTTGTCCTCGCCTTCTTTAAGGCTAGATAGAAACACAAACGCTGCCTGATTTAATGGTCGTCTTTAAGCAAAACAAACTACAGATTAATTAATGGTATTCCACTAATAGAAAAGACTTTTCATCACTTTGTTTCAACAGTTATTGTAGAGGAACTGATAAAGTTTTGGTTTTTCGTTGATTTATGAGGCAGAAAATAATACCGCATTGCTTATTTCATGCTGCTGCACACTGCTGGTTAGATGGCTGAAAACAGTCTTCTAGATTTCTACCTAGCTCATAAAAACATTAATACGATTGTTTGTAAATTCTTCAACTGATTTTGGAATCTAATCAAATAGTTTTAGCCAAATATTTTCAAACTAAATCTAAACATTTCCCATTTCCTATACATCGAAAGTACTTTTACAAACTATTTAAAATGCACAATAATGGCTTTTCTTTATACTCAAAATGTTCATTTTGAAATATTTACTTATTAAAAACCTCTTTACATTATTTGAAAAGAAATGATCAATAAATGTATCTCTTCCTAAAATAATAGATGTATGCAGCATTAGAACAAAAACATGTCATTATCTTTTATTAAGCTAAAAGCTCCAGCTGTCAGGAGGAAAGGCTCTCCCTGATCACTTAGCCTCACTAACTAACTCGCTTATATCGGCCTTTTTAGAGTCTGACTATAGACAGTAAAACTATAAGGTGTTGAATTCTGTTTAAAGCACATAAAGGGCCACATTTAACTCATTCATCTGCATTTTTAAGCTAATGCATCAAAACAAGAAATATCAATTATTTTTTTAAGACAAATTATGAAATGCCCATACCAGTGTGTTTTAATACACTGGATGACATCACTCTATGCACTTTGAACACCGTTTAAGCCCCTCTCATGTCACAGCTCTGTAATAAACACTCTGAGCCGCTAATTACTGAACATGTTGTCCTTTCACACCAACAAGCCGATCCAGAGGGATTATGGGAATTTATTTGGAGGGATGCTAATCACACAGCTGCTGGACAACAGAGCAGTGGAGATGAGATAAACACATGATGATGAGAGGGAGACAATAAAGGATGTTTTCAGGGATTGGGCCCAGCTTTAAGCTCAGGCTTTTTGCACATTTTTATCTTGTTGAACAAAGTTTGAGGGTGGCCACTTCCTGATGCATCAAAACCGCCCGACTTTGCACAAAGTAAGGTTTTTAAATGCATGGATGAGCGGATTAGGAGGGAATCAACTATCCCTGCCTGCCTGTCCACTGGACAGAGACCTAAACCCAACGGAACACCGGTGGGATGAATCGGAGTGAGGGCTCGGAGCTATGCACTTAATTTCAATCCATTTGAGGAAAAAAATTAAAAAATAAAGATAACGTCAAATCATCCCAATAAAAACGCTCCCAACTGTATTCCTTCACAAGAACTGTGAAGGAATCACCATATGGAAGTGGAGAGCCAACAGAGCGAAATTTCCCGATCCGATCTCTCCTTGGGTTGATCGGAAATTCAAAATCTCCGTCTACATGGACACTAATTGAAATGATCGGATCATGACGTGTGTGTACTGTACATGTACCAGGCATTCCATCATATTAAATCTTTTAAGCTTGTGCGGAACTGACCCTTTTTTCCAGCAAAGCAATGGAGGAAACATCACGCTGATGTTGCACACATTGCAGTGGAAGTTATTTTACTCCAAAGATCCGATCGAAATGGCGATCAGCAGAAAACACCTTTTAAGCTAAATAAAAATTCCTTCAGAACAGACAGAATTGGATTAAAATCTTCAGTCTGACGTGTTTGGATGAAACATTTTTGATCCTGATCATTCCGATTAGGCCTTAAATGCGATTCTTTGCATCCATGCAAACTAGGGGTGTGCAAAATAATCGTGATGATGATGCATCGTGATTCAAATTTTCGTGATCTACTGCATCGATTCTTGATACCAAGAATCGATTATTAATTTCAAAAAATTAATAAATAAAATTGCATGAATGGTTGGCGAACATCAGCCAAAAACAAGTGTAATACAACTTCCAGTCCAGTAGATGTCGCTGCAAATATGTTGACGCACGCTGCCTTGTGTCACAAGCATTTCCGGCCGCGGGATACTGTGCCGAGTCATTCAAAAACAAAACATGGAGGATAAAATATTGCAATGCATCGCAATAATTCAAGTATCGTGATGCATCATGATAGAATCGCATCGTGGCCTGTGAATCGTGATTCGAATCGAATTGTGACTTCTTTGGCAATACCCACCCCTAATGCAAACGTGGTGAATTTAGATTCTGCTTCCAGCCTGATATTCGCGTTCCCTCAGGCCAGCTGACCAGTTGCTTCTGAAGGTGCCAAAGATAAATTGCAAGCTCAGAGGGGGCAAGCTTTTTCTGTGGCGGCTCCGTAGCTATGGAATGATCTTCCTTTGGGCAGGCCTTGACTCGCTGATTTTAAAAGTCGTAGGGAAGTCGTGTTTAAATGTCAAATCATTCTGGCTTAAACATGTATATAAACGTAATCTTTATCAGAAGACATTGTCCCAAAAGTTAGAAAATTTCTACTTTAAAAAAAAAATTTTTTTTTTACGTCTTAAAATTTATGAAAAATAAAAGTTTTTCCATTACCTTATGCAGGCCAGTTAGTTATACGTCAGCCTGAACACCTAAATTCGGCCAATCATATCAATTATCATCTGTCAATCTAATTTTTTCCACCATAGCATCTTGATTCATCTTTCGCAGCTAATATAGGCAACGGTTGATATAAGAATCATCATTTCCTTTCCCATTGAGTTGCGTCCCAGTGTTCATAGGGATGGACGTCTGTGTCTTCGGCAGGCGTAGAGCTAACAGAACTGGCAGCGTTGCGAGGCAAGGGCTCAAACATGTACGGCTGGAAGCCTTCTACACCAAACCAAGCTTCTGCCGCCCTGGCGTCCTCTTCCACAACATCTTCGTCCCCGCTTTCCTCCTCTAAATAAAAAATGGATGACGGAGGAGACTCATCCATGACCTCCGACACTAAACTCTCCTCCTCTTGCATGTTTCCTCTGTCCATAGCGTTCCTTGACAGTGCCGTTTCTAAGTCACCAATTTAGTGCTACTTGGTCCCAATGGAATTTCCCATTGGGAATCTGCTAGCACCAAGTACTAGCACAAGGCTTCAAAGGCACTTCTTGCAAACCTTCCGCCATAACAATCCCTCGCCCTCTTGATAAACAACCAATCACATTCACTTTACTTACTCATGTAAAGTCGGGCACCACTCTGGAGAATTTGGAAATGCAGCGATTGGAACAGCTGTTCCCTACGACTTTAAGTCTCCTCTTAAGATCCTTCTTTTTTCTTTGACTTTTGGTTAAAGGTTTCAATTTGTTTTATTGCATCTGTATATTATGTGTTTTATATTCGATATTTTCTTTTCTTTTATAATTGCATTGTATTTTATGATCTTGTACAGTACTTTGGTCCTGTCAGTGTATAAAACATTTTATAAATAAAGTTGGTATGGTATGATATTGGAGGATCATCCAGCAAGTTTTCTCTGTGCCCGCTGTGATGCTGCACCAACTGTTTTCATGTCACCAAAATCGTTCCACCGTCCTGAATAAATCCGTTTAGTTCATCAAGGTTTTCCGTCCTGAAAAGCATCTAAAATCTGAGATGGTTTGAACTAAAAGGGGCCATTTTTTTTTTTTTTTTTACTTTTCAGCATCCAGTTCATAAAGATAGTCCGTAATTAAATTACAATAAGGTTGATGCTGGAACAAAACAAAAAAAGGGGGGAAATAAGTTGTTGATTATGATAAATGATCAAAGACTCTCAAGCCATTTGCTTGACGAAACAATCAAAGCAAAGCTGCTGAAAGGTAAAACATTCATCTAAGTCATGATGAGACACAAGAGAGTAGTTAGTGGGCAGAGAATACAATTCACAAAAAGCTCATCTTGTGTTTTTTCATTCAAATATGAGAAATGGTCTGCAAAAGGAGCCAAAAGCAGCAATGGTCCTCATGTTCAATGAGAGATGACTCACGAAAGTCCTGCCAGGGCGGATATGGGGGCTCCAGGCCTCTGCCGCTGCAGTCTGGTTCCAAGGCCGTATTTCTCCTAAGGGAATTCAGAAAGAAGAGACATGATAAGGCCAACCGCCAAATGACTCTAATGGAGAGTCACTATGATTTATGAGACTAATCTACAGCTATTTTTCTATGTGACAATTCCTCAACAAAGCCTTTTTAAAGAGAGAAATCCATGTCAACTCAAATGAAATTTGAATTAAAGGAAAAGTCCGGTCACATTCAGAATACAAACTTCTGAAAGTACTTCAAGTATAAAATGATTACATACTTTTCAATACATAAGTGTTTTTAATTAAGAGTATTTAATTTGAATGTGGTTTACTGGAGGCATCCATGTTTGTCAAAGAACACTACTGCCACCTACTGGTTTGTGACGTCATGGTGCGGTATCGGCTGCTGTTCAAGTCCCAGTGCTGTATCTGGTGTTTGTAACAACGCGCTATTATCCAAGTCATCTTGAAAACATTCTTCTTCCAAATGTTGGCTACATATTACGTGTTTTTTTCTCTGGTCAGAAGTTCGATGGCAAATCCTCCCTCTTCAAGTTGGCGATCCAACGACCAACCCGTCCGTGGAGGATCAGGAATCGGAACGGTGAAAGAACTAACTTTTTTTCACTTTTACCCGATGTATTCCAACATCCAGCTGCCATGCACGTGGGCATTGTCAGTTTCACTATAGCTCTGGTGAATTTCAATGGTGAAGTCCTCTGGGAATCTTCAATAATTGTTGTTGATTGCAGATGTGTCTAGTAGGGGTGTAAATAACAATCGTTTTGTTTCGATGCATCGATCCAACAGCCGATGATCCGATGCATCGATACGTCCGCAAGAGAACCGATTCATGTTTTTTTTTCCTCCGGTCTATTTTTATCCATTTGCTCCTGGACGTAATTCTCCCTCCCGTGCTGCGGTGGCGCTAAACCTATTTTGCCCTCCTACCGCGCTTCCTGGTTATACACTTACAGCAGTGTGTTGCAGTAAGCTTGACAAAGACATTTTTGATTCATGCTCAATATTGAAGCGTGGTCTGTGCTACACACTGTGGGTCTAGATACGGCCGAGGCAAAGAGGAAGTGGGGGCGAGTTTAGTCCGACGACGGAGGGACATGAGGGCCAACAAGGGCAGAGATCCAGGCAGAAAAAGGGTCCCAGCGTTCTCGCGCACCTCGCTCTTCTAGCGGGCCAAACTTCACAAGTTGTTTTCCACTATTTCGGTCATAAAAACAAAACAAGCCGGCCTCCTGTCTGCAGCACTGTCTGCGGTCAGCTACAATTTAGGAGAGGAGCAGCAAAGCGTCTGTGGAGGGGGCGGGACGTCTAGAGCCGAGGTATTGCATTGCACTCATTGCACTGATTTTCTGCAGTATTTTTTGATGCAAAGCCTTTCAGAATCTATAACGCACGGGAATTATTATTTTTCAGTTAATGAGGTTTTACTAGGAATAGGTGGAGTGCAACTTTTCTACTTCTGTTATTTACTATTGTTTCTAAAAAACAAAAAAAATGCATGATATTACAGCTTTCATTGATTTATTTCAAATTTGAAACGTCTATCCCGTAAGGTGTAAAAAAAAAAAAAAATGTAAAAATTAACCAATTAATCGTATCGAATTGTATCGTAGTGTATTCTTGAGTATCGAAAATAATCGAATCGTTGGGTCAGGAAATCGATACTGAATGGAATCGCCATGATGGATGTGATTTACACCCCTAGTGTCTAGTAGTTCCCATTGATTTTGCTTGTAAAGCAGGAGAATGGCGCTAGGCTTAACGCACCGTGACGTCACTATTGGAAGATGGCAGTTACAATATTTGGGCAAAAATGGCCGCTCCTAGACTCCAGGATCGCAACAAAAAAATATTGTCTTTATTTTTTTTACTGATTAACACTAAATTCATTAAATTACCGCAAATGCATTAATTTTAGGTATAAATAATGACCGATTGGTTATTTCTTGCTGACCAGACTTTTCTTTAAGACATTAAATAAAGCAGATAGAGTTTTGTTGATCTTCTGGTTAGAAACAAAGGACACAGAGCTGCTGGAGAATGGCAAGGGGGGATTTCTTGACTCAATTAGGCTTAAGTGTTTTTGAATAAACAGACATCACGATGCCAACATCAAGCTCCCCTTGGGTAAATCTGAGACTAATTTACCTAAGGAGACATTCATGTGATCTGTGAGGCCTAACAGGGTTGACAAGTAAAGAGATAAATGACTGGAAGAAGACTACCCAAATTGTGAAAATGTAACTCACCACCACATGAATAGTGTGTTGCTGAGGGGGTAAAAACCAAAATATCAGCGAGCATAAGCAAAGGAAACAAAAAGAGGAGAATAAAGATCAAAGTGAAACCAAAGCAATCAAGCGGAACGTCAGTGTCATTTGGTGACATGCATTGGCGACAAAAATAATTTCAGATGCAAAACAATGTGACTGCAGGACATAAGCGGAGTGATCACAGGAACGATTCATTCACATTAATGGATGTTAATGCAGGCGGTTTGAAAAGCAGGAGTACAGAGTGTGACAAGAAAAACAAAGGAGATGTTAACACTGCATACAAATGTTCTTTGACATTTTAGCATCACAGACACGACAAGCTGGAGGCGGATTTGATGTCTGAACGGTTCAGCGTTGAACTCAGAGCTCCCAGACCCACTGTCCCCCCTCTATAAGTAAAAGTAAATCTGCTTCAACAGAACCCCAGACTGAATCAACGGTGTTGATCTCAGATAGTGCTAAATAAATGACACCACGGCCGTTTAGCATTTTGAAAGGTTGGAGAGAAAGTGTGACATTCCTGAAAGCATCTCTCTAAGAGGGGAGCGGAGTACCGAGAATGCCAGGGGCATGCACTGCCGCCTCCTCGCCAGCTTCTTCCTGTCTCTCTCCTGCTTCTCTCGGTGGGCGAGCTGCTGGTAATACTCAATCAGTTTGGAGATCTGTGGCAAACAAAAACTCAGGTCAATTCTTTTCTAAACAAAAAAAATAATGCCTTTAAGATCAAACAAAAACAACAATGCATGTTAGGGATGCAGCAGTAAACATAGGCAGGTTGTACTGATAGTTTGGTTCATGTGTGCTGAAAAGACGAAGCTTTGAAAAAACGTGCTGAATTTTAACTCAGAACTCAATGTTTAGCCTTGCAGCTTTAAAAGGCCATCAGATAAGGGTGAAATTACAAGAAAACAGTGAGCTGCAGGACATCCTACAGTCTGCTGTCTGCAAACTCCTCCTCCTTCTATATTTAAATAATTAGCTGGTATTCTCCTTTCTCAAGGTCCACACGAGTAATACGATATGTTTCACAATAAAGTCTTAATATGATTCTAACTGGCAGCTGGTAGCAGTGGTCCTGCTAAAGGAACGAAACAAGCAGCTGTTAATGATCGGTTCCAGATGTGGTACTTCCAAAGGTACTGACCGAATTCTGCCAGATTTACCACATACCTATTAGGCTGGAAAGGATACTAATTAAAACTTGATATCGATATCAAGGAAAATGTTTGATAACTGACACCATTTTCAATGACATGAGCATAAAAATGGACAATAAAAGCATATCTTTGTTTTTTTACTGACATTAAAGACGCTAAACGCTATGATTTTCTCTCTGTAAAAGTATTAACATCGGTTTTTTGTACTGAAGCTGAGTTAGCAGCAGCTGAGTTTGCCTTCAGCTCTGAATGTGTGCATTTAACTTTCTCAGAGAACGATTTAAAAGAATGCAGTGTGTGATCAAGGAACATGTGACCAACTCAAGGATGATCAAATGACCACAGGGTAGGACTTACCCGCTGAGCGTGGGGATTTTCTGGCTCCTGCCATCCACCGCTTGCTGTAAAACACAATATGCATCATTACTTTAAACCAAAGACAGTCACAAATGAAAGCAAAGTCTTGTTTTCCAAGTTTTAATTGACTTCGTAGAAGCGCCTACCGACGGATTTGTCAGCCATGCCTACATCCCTGGAGGTCCAGCGACAGAACCCGCAGGCCAGATAGTAGGCTTTCTTCATGGTCGTCTTGGTGGGGTCATCGGGGAGGGGAGCCGGGATGTTAGTGGCCCGAGTTGACAGTGTGTGCATGCAGCACGGGCAGTCAAAACAATTAGCACACCTGCAGCGAGGCAACAGCGGATCAGCGATAGAAACAAATATATTTCAAGCAAGCAGAAGTAGTAATAGAAAAAAATTAAAAATAGCTTTTTTATGAATGTTGGAGAATCAGTCACCTGTTCTTTTTGACCTTAGCTTCAGCAGACGGCATGTTCTCCAGACAACTTGGACAGTAATGGGAGTCCACCTAATTATCAAAGTACAGGTCAGTCAGTTCTGTGTAAAGATTCAGGGAAGATCATCTTTCTCAATGGTTTCAATTTGTTGGGCTAAGAGGCACTGATAGAGATCTACACGAAGTTTTAAAGTGCAACAGATTTCACTTTAGTGAAATATCATAATAATAGGAGATATCAATATCCTATAAGTGTAGGAATATGATCACCTTTCAAATATTAACCCTATTTTTAATAAAAATCTGTTGCTGCTTGAAAGTTTTCTGTGATTGACATTAGTTTTCAGAGGTTTGATGGAGAAAAAGGCCCACAGAATTATAGGTTCTCTACCGTACCCAACAGTGGCCATGAGGTGACTTTTCCACTGTTTCACTACCTGGACACTATCTGCCCAAGGTTATACTTAACCTTAAAGGAATAGTACACCCAAAACATGATTAGCCTTCATTTTCTACTCACCCCCATGCTGAACAACACGCTGGAGTACTTTTTTGATATCTCAAATGCATCTGGAGATCTGGGAGGCTTCTTGCTGTCTGCTGACATTCAAATAATGGAGGTCTATGGCGCCCGAGGCAGAAAGGTCCATAAAAGTCCACAAAAAACGTGTCAGTATTCCTCCATACTGCTCGTCCAATGTATTCCAAGTGTCCTGAGTGGGTAGCATCCAGAATTTACTCGAAACGAAGTCATTTAGAATGTTTTTAGAGCATAAACAGTAGTGTATAGGATTTCCTGAAAGGGTGCGCCTGCGAGTTCATGACGCTACGGAAACCGCGGCAGACCAAACCAGATGAAAGTGCGCATTCACCTCGGCAAAGAACTCATGCTCTTCCTCAACACTGAAGTCCTCAGACATTTTTCTTTCGTTGTTTCTTTCTTTGCACAGGTAAACAGCACATTTCTTCTTCTACGCTTGCATTATCGGCAGAGCAGACGCTGAATGCGCACTTTCATCTGGTTTGGTCTGCCGGCTTCCGTAGCGTCGTGAACGCGCAGGTACGCGCTTTCAGGAAATCCTATACGCTACTGTTTATGCTCTAAAAACATTCTAAATGACTTTGTTTCGAGTAAATTATGGACGCTACCCACTCAGGACACTTGGAATACATTGGACGAGCAGTAAGGAGGAATATTGACACGTTTTTTGTGGACTTTTATGGACCTTTCTGTCTCGGTCACCATAGACCTCCATTATTTGAATGTCAGCAGACAGCAAGAAGCCTCCCAGATCTCCAGATGCATTTGAGATATCAAAAAAGTACTCCAGAGTGTTGTTCAGCATGGGGGTGAATAGAAAATGAAGGCTAATCATGTTTTGGGTGTACTATTCCTTTAAGCAGACTATACTTAAAGTTATACTAAAGCCACAATGAAGTTTAACAAACTTCAAATATTCAGGGTTAGGTTAACAATAGGAAAGAAAATACTTGTTTGTTTTTTAGTGGTGGTTAAGATGTACAGCCAAGCCGAAAAATTAATAATGCTCTTTAACAAATTAGATTTAACCAATTTTTTCAATATTCAAACATGTTTGTATAACCTGAATAGAAGCCATATTCATAATTTAGAGTTGCTAAATCAACTTGAATCTAAAAGAAAATGTCAGCTGGTTACATTGATTTTTAAAGGGATTATTAAGAGTACCAAAATTACTTGAGATTAATTCCCTCTTTGAATAAATGCACTTTAATCAAAAGGTCACACAACTACAAAAGGTTTTATATATTTGTCAGCTTTGAGAACATCTATTTTAAGGTTATTTGCACATATTTCTGCGCATATATGTATTTGATACTGCATCCATTATCAGAAAAAATGAAAGATTATGGTTTAAGTAGTTAAATGTTTACATAAAAACCCACAAGATGCCTTAAAGGAGTGTGACTATTTTTTCCCTGGGTGTGGTGCCCCTTTATTATAAAGCTAATCTCCCTAAAGTAGATAACATAAGTGCTACGAGCTCAACGTTACTATTAAAATCTTTATTTCCTAAAAGTACCAGGTAACATATATTTCTGTAATCAAAATAGTATAATATTAAATCTTAGGTATAACATAAACTACCTAGCCTTTTGTTGCTATATGATGCTAACTCCAGCGGAAGTTTAAAAAGCTAAGCCAATCAAATGAAGGATTCACAGGAAAACGAAGTGATTGACAGCGCGATTAGTCCACACAATGCATGGGATGAATGATTAAGCCCCGCCCAGCTGTCATAGCGACACCGTGTCGGCTAACAACAAAGCAGCTAGCCGCTATCAGAGGAGGAAAAAAAAAACTCACCTCATGAGACACACATTCCAGCGATCTTAACTCGCTACAGTAACGACAAAAATAAAGTTGAGATAATGGAGCTCTAATCCTTTTCTCTCCACGAACCAGATAGATAACCCTATCTGGCTGCAGAAGAGACGCCATCTTACAGCGGCTGAGCTTAGCTCACAGTGCTACTGCGTTCGGCTTGTCACTGCTGGGTGTCTTAAAGACAAGTTAGCCTCAGCATTGCCCTCTAGTGGTCACTGCTGAAGCTACACCGTCCGTTTTATTAATTCCATGTAGGTTAAAACAAGCTGAAGCCCTGGTATGCATGCATGTATGTAAAAATATCTGACTTTAAGATTATTATTTTTTCAACCACCAAAGCTTTATTAAATTCGTTACATTTGATTTAAATAGTTTTTGTAAACATCACTGAAGTACATAAGTGTTAATGAAAAGGCCTGTATTTATAAACATGCCTAAATAAAAAAGGCCCTGGCTGTGTTTTCAATTTAAAGCACTGTAAAAACTTCAACTTTGAAAATGTTAAGAAATTATGTCCAACAACTTCAGTGCAGTTATCATGATTCTTCCTCAATGTAGTTTTTTTCACTCTTTTTCCACTGCCTAACTAACTGAATGAATCAAATAAAGAGATTTAGACCTTATTTATTTATTTATTTTTAATACAACAGAAGGTGGCTACACTGTAAGGGTTGTTTAAACCAACCAATACCCTTTAGCCATTATTTACCTAACTTACATTTGCTGTTTTGAAATTAGTTGAGGAAATATGCACAAATATTTTCTTGAGAAGCTTTATTTCCAACTGAAATTTTAAATCTGAGTAGTGCTGATCTTGTATAAATACAAAGCAAATGTAACCTTTAGAAAATAAATAAATAAATACTTTCAATGACTTCCATCTATTGCCTGCTGTTGGAACCAATGGTATTCCGGGGAGTGTTGGCCTAGTGGGTTAGAGCGGTGTGCTTGTGCTCTGAGAAAGTTGCAAGTGCCCGATTTAATCCCCACAGCCTCCAGTCTTGGTTCCTGAGCAAAACCCTCAACCCACACTGCTCCAATGTGAGATCAATAGAGTTAAAGTTCAATTATTTGAATCATGTCCCCTCCATTAGCCCCAACCCCCCCAAAAAAAAGTATGCTTTCTTCTAGGGATGCACGATATAATCGGCCCCCTATCGGTATCGGCCTGTATCGGCCTTAAAACTGAGTATCGGACATCGGCCACCCCACCGATATTTAACCCGATATTTGATCAGCTTCTGAGTTTCTAAAGTCTAAAAAAATAAAATAAAATACTACTACTTCTTCTTCCTCAAAAACTTCTTTTTTACAGACTTAAAAACTTCTACAGACGAGGGGAAAAATATTGATACATTAAAATATCCCAATATCTTCATATGCTGATATATTGCCATTTAAAAACACCATATCAATCTCTTTTACTAATGAAATATTGCTATATGTCATCGTTATGCTACGAAATCCCCCGAAAATTCACGAAATTTTGCCATATTTTTATATGTTGATATATTGACGCGGTATCGATCTATTTTACTAACAAGATCTCACAAGAATTTGCAAAATATCACGAGAGTTTGTAACAGAACGATGAAATTTCACGAGATTTTGAAAGTAAAATAGATCGATACCGCATTTTTAAAAATATTTGATATCAGCATATGAAAATATATTTGAGTATATTATTTTTCAAAGTGTCAGAAATGGATAACAAAACTGCTATTTTCAATGACTATTTATTTTTGTCCAGCTTTAACATCGGTATCGATATCGGTTATCGGCTACATGAGTTTTAAAATATCGGCATATCGGATATCGGCCAAAATCCCAATATCGTGCATCCCTACTTTCTTCCATAAATTCCCCCCAAAAAAAACAATCTGCTGGAATTTGTTTCCAAGTTTGAAGACGTTTCACTTCCCATCCAAGAAGCTTTTTTAATTCAGATTGAAGCAATGTGCAGTGGATTGTTTTTTAACAATCCACATATTTCTCTATCAGCTGTGCTGCTGCCATCGACACCTTTGTTTATAGATGTTCGACATCGGCCTGTTTTTCCAGTGTAGTCCTGTTTCTCTAACTGTGACTGGCTGGATGTGCTCTCTTCATCCTCTAACAGGGGAGCTGGCTCAGAGCTCGTCTGCCTGGCTGTGTGTTTCCTGGACGGGGCCGCCTTTACAGCTGCTTTTTGTATCTCTGCTTCTGTCTCCTTGAACCCCAGTCGGCCTCAGCAGATGGCCGCTCACACTGAGCCTGGTTTTGCTGGAGGTTTCCTGTTAAAAGGGAGTTTTTCCTCTCCACTGTCGCTTAAAGCATGCTTAGTGTGAGGGATTGCATTCGAGTCAATGAGTCGATGCAATAAACTAGTTTTCCTTAAATAGAAAAGTTTGAAACAATTTCACTGTATGATCTGGTGAACTGTAGAGTGCCTCGAAATTACATGTTTTGTGAATTGGTGCTATATAAATAAACTGAATTGAATTGTTTTTTTTTACTTTTTTGGAATGACTATGACCTGGATGACTGAGAATCTTCACCAGCAATATCAGCTGAGCTGTAGATCTCTGCATTCCTCCCGTGTTTCCATGGCCCCACGGGCAGCTTCTTTGGTTATTAGTCTCTCGGATTCACACTGGTGGATTCTATTTACCTTTTAATGCATCTTGTACTGAATACCATTTAGAGGTACCAGAGTAATGTGGGGTATTTAAATGCAAATGTATACCACGCAATTAAAGTCATTTATGAATAAGTTTAAAGTTTCCTTCTCCTCAAACTTAACATCTATACACTATTTTGTTGATCTATAACAAAACTGTTGTTTTCATAGTTATATTGACACTGTAGATCTTGAAGTAGAATAATGTTTACAACTGTTACAGAAATAAGACAGGGGCCCTGGCCTCTGTTGGCCCCCGTCTAGAACCGGCCACACGTACAAACATTCTGAGCAGATTCAGTTATTTAAATAGGCACTGGGATATCTCTCTCAAATTGCTGTGTAGTCAGATAAAGTCACCAAGGTGCCCTGGCAGGCATGCAAAGAGGCTTGTCAGCCTCTGACGGGGTATATGGCCAAGTGGTTGATCACTATGGAAACCGCTGATCTCATACACTTGAAATGATCCATGCTTAAAGGTTGTGTTTGGGGAAAAAATGACTCACCATCCTGCATTTGAATAGAATAGAATAGAATAGAAAATCCCTTTATTATCCCACAATGGGGAAATTCTGGTGTTTACAGTAGCAAAAAGATTATAGAAAAAAATGGTTGCATAAATGCAGACCTTAGAAATAAGAATGACATAATAGTGAAGAGTTAAAGATAAAGCATAAAATAATGTACTGTAAAGTGTTTTAACAATATAAAAACTGTGCACCTGGAGAATAAATAACCAATATTCAGCTATGGACATTTTTACAGTAATGGATATTTGAAAACAGCAGCATCATCAGAGATGTGCAGAATGACAGCAGCAGGTTATTTAACTGACTAAAATAGAAACTGTGCAAAATCAGCATGAATGTAACAACTTATTGAGGTTGTTGGGAACAGTGGCGGTTCTAGACCAAATGTACCAGGGGGGCCAGGAGGGGGCCAGCGTGTTTTCATGGGGGCACAGAAAAGCATGAAATAAAAAAACAGGCCAAGGGATTCAAATAAATTAAGTGTAGCGAACGCAGTTACACAAGCATTTTTCTGTGTGAATTTATTTCTTGTTTTTGTGAATATGAATATGTTTTACTTTTAATATCCAGTTCATATTTGTGTATTTTTTTATTAATATGTACATACTTTGGGGAAATATTGTAATAATGTCAGATGGAGACGTCACTGGTTAGGTTATCACTTGATCACGTGATGCCTTGGATGGAAAGTTCTGAGTTTTGTTTTATACTCGGTCGGCGTGTGCAAGAGTAAAGGCAAAGGACTGAAATATAGAAGAAATGGACGTGTAAGGACTTCTAGCAACTCCTAACCTTCTGGTTGGAGGGACATACGGTATGGACAATTGAGAGAATTTATATTTTGTTTAATAAGTTTCAGTTGATAATTCATATAAGGGAATATGAAGGTTTCACTGATGAATATTTTTCACCGTGTATTTTGCAGTGTTCACGGTGGTCTTGAGCGTTTGTATGACGGAAAATCCTGTAATAAACGTTTGGAACCATCAGTTGGATAATTGCACTTTCATCAACCAGTTAGAAAAAGTTGGGAGCAGGTATATTAAGATAGCTGCATGAAGTGAAATTTCTATTCAATTAGGTTTCATTAAAATTCTAAATGTCTTAATAGGTCAATATACATTCAGAATTAAGGGATTTTACTTTTTCTTTTACTTAATTTAAGTTGAAATAGTTTTCTATAAAATCTGAATTAGAATTTAAGAAAAACTGTAAAAATTAGCTGTAAAAAGTAGAGTATTTTTTTACATTTGTTTTGGAAAAAAAACATTTAGCAGATGAAAACTGGGATCCTATCTCAATCCCACTTATGCTATGTTTTTAAAAAGTTAATAAAACAGAATTTGTAAAGAAAAAAATAAAATAGATCCAAAGGATCTATCAGAAACTATGTCTGTTTCAGCGCATATAATCATTAGAATTTCTTTGAGTATTATGTCTTCAGTACAGGGGCCATAATAGGGGCCAGGACTTGATTTACAGGGGCCCTGGCCCCCGTTGGCCCCTGTCTAGAACCACCCATGGTTATAAAGTCTTCCAGCTGCTGGGAGGAAGGATCTGTGATAACGCTCCCTGGTGCAGTTCTGCAACAGCTTCATGCATGGGCTGGGAGACATTATCCAACAGAGATGTTTATTTAGTTAGGGTCCCTTTGTTTCCCACCTCCTGCACTGAGTCCAGAGGGCGTCCAATCATCAGCTCATCCAGCCGCTTTCTCTCAGCTACAGATAAGCCACTACTCCAACAGACAGCTATGACTCTGTCGTGGCTGATGCCACAACAGAGTCATAGAAAGTCTGTTGCACTCAGTCTCCTCAGCAGGAAGAATCTGACCTTTCTTATATAGAGCCGCAGTGTTGTTATTCATGTTTAAATTTTATTGCTTTGTTTTTTGTTTTTTTCTTTAAAATTTTTCTTTAATGTTTTCAAATTTTAAATACCTCTGTTTTTAATCTACTTTTAGCCACATCATCTCAACCAAAACACCACGTCATTCATTTTTGCTGTACCGCTTTCCGTCAGCAGAGGGCGCCCTCTCCGCCCTCTAGGAGCCCCCTCTCCCTCCCTCCCTCAGCCAACAGATGTTGGTTTCTCCAGAGGGAGAAGCTGGGAGTCATCAGCTGAGAGAGACGCTCACAGTGAGCTGGACAAACGGCATCATGTGGGCCTTCTTCCCGCTGCTGCTGCTCGCCCTGCTGCGGCCCTGCGCCGCCGGAGTCAACCTCACCCAGGTAGGCCACCTGTTGGAGCACAAGGAAATGAACTAACCTCACATCTCTTTTGGTTTTTTGTGCGACACCTTTTACACCTGCTTTGTTAAGATTCATTAAGGGGGGAAAGAGAGATAATGATAAAAAGAAAAAAATATTTATTATTAATTTCAAGTTTTATTCTATTTACACCCTCAACCATTACCTAAAGCCTTGTTTTTATTGTATTATTTATTGTATTGTAGTATTATTGTGTATTCAGCCTTAATTAAATGCAATAGAATTTTTATACTTTGTTTTATACTTTGTTTCCCCAAGTAGGCTTTTTTTATTAAATAATTAAAAGAACTAAATGAAACATTTTTGACCCTAAAAATTAATGTTTTCTATCTCACCTCCATATGAAACACCTTTTTCTTATGTGGCATATTAGGGAGAAGCTATTATCCACAATAAGTTGCAAGATGTAAAAGGGGAAAAAAAGAAAGCTTTTAATTGGATTATATAGGATGTTTCAGTTAAAGGTTGTGTCTTTTTTTTTTGCAAATGGAGCAAAGTTCCTGTTGACACTGGACTGCAGGAGTTATTTTGCAGTGGGGTGGTTTGCAGGGGAACCTTCAGCCTACACATTAGATACATAACAGCAGCAAAACACTTCTCTTTACTTTATTTTTTTCCCTATAGGGATATTTGCCTTACAGTGAGGTGAACGGCACCGCATTACAGTCACAATCTGTCACCCCGAATAAAAACAAATAGTGGGCGCCTGTTCAAGTAAAGTTTAAACAAAGATTAGACAACAACAAGATTTAAATCTAATCCATTTTTCCCATCAGGAAAAGCTTTTCTACCTTTCTGCTGCTGGTCCCTCTAAAGTAAAAATGAGTGAATAATTTAAAAAAAAACTCAAATATTTGCTTTAAAATCTTGAGAAAGATCATGTTATTTCAAGAAAGTTTGTGTTTCTATAATAACAAACACAAATATAATCAACATAATGCGAAGTCATGGCCTTTTAATACACTTAGTAAAGGCTTAATGGGGTTTAAATCCTGTTATTTAATGAACATTTCCTCAGAATGATGACGCTAATGTTTGATGGAAATGTCCGCTACAAAATCTCATTTGCCATCACAGGCTACCCATCTAATAAAGCAATATATGGTTTAAAAAGTTAAATAAAAGTCTGTGGTGTGTATTTAAATTCATTCACTCTCTTTTTTCTGATGCTCCTACATGAAATCTTAAACTTAACTCTGTGGCCTATAACTATATAAGCACCTTTAGTCCACCAGCTACACAGTGAAACATGGTGGTGGAGAAATCAAACTGTGGGAATGAACTTTATTTACTAGCATGAACTGGGAAGTTGTCCACTGTTGATCGGAAATTGGAGCTACTGTAAATAGAGAGCATTATTGGAAGAAAACCAGTTAATAGGTTGAAAGAGACTCTGGTGAAGGTTCACCCTCCAATTGATTAACGTCCAAAACCAAACAGGACTAATATGCTTTTCTTGTGTTAAAGGGACAGTTTACACTTAAATCCAAATCAGTAAGACATGAATAAGCTTTTTTCAGCAAGAATGGCCTTTAGAGAGTCTGCATAAAATAGCAATAAAAACAGCTAGTTCATAAAGTTAGATTGTTTAATGTTTTCTATTTAAGGAAAACTAGCTGATTGCATTGTGTCATTGACTCTACAGCAGAGCCTCTCACTGAGCAGGCATGCAGGCCTCAACTCTGACTCATTTATACAGGTGCTGGTCATAAAATTAGAATATCATGAAAAAGTAGATTGATTTCAGTAATTCCATTTAAAAAGTGAAACTTGTATATTATATTCATACATTACATACAAACTCATATATTTCAGATGTTTATTTTGTTTAATTTTGATGATTACAAATGACAACAAATGAAAATCCCAAATTCATCATATCAGAAAATTAGAATATTACTGAAGACCAATAAAAACAAAGGATTTATAGAAATGTTGGCCAACTGAAAAGTATGAACATGAAAAGTATGAGCATGTACAGCACTCAGTATTTAGTTGGGCCTCCTTTGGCCTGTATTACTGCAGCAATGCGGCGTGGCATGGAGTCGATCAGTCTGTGGCACTGCTCAGGTGTTATGATAGCCCAGGTTGCTCTAATAGTGGCTTTTAGCTCTTCTGAATTGTTGGGTCTGGTGTATTGCATCTTCTTCTTCACAATACCCCATAGATTTTCTATGGGGTTAAGGTCAGGAGAGTTTGCTGGCCAATTAAGAACAGGGATACCATGGTCCTTCAACCAGGTACTGGTAGCTTTGGCACTGTGTGCAGGTGCCAAGTCCTGTTGGAAAATGAAATCTGCATCTCCAAAAAGTTGGTCAGCTGCAGGAAGCATGAAGTGCTCTAAAACTTCCTGGTATGTGGCTGCGTTGACCCTGGACCTCAGAAAACACAATGGACCAACACCAGCAGATGACATGGCACCCCAAACCATCACTGACTGTGGAAACTTTACACTGGACTTCAAGCAACGTGGATGAAGTGCCTCTCTTCTTTTCCTCCAGACTCTGGGACCTTGATTTCCAAAGGAAATGCAAAATTTACTTTCATCAGAGAACATGACTTTGGACCACTCACCAGCAGTCCAGTCCTGTTTCTCTTTAGCCCAGGCAAGACGCTTCTGACGCTGTCTGTGGTTCAAGAGTGGCTTGACACAAGGAATGCGACAGCAGAAACCCATGTCTTTCATACGTCTGTGTGTGGTGGTTCTTGAAGCACTCACTCCAGCTGCAGTCCACTCTTTGTGAATCTCCCCCACATTTTTGAAGGGGTTTTGTTTCACAATCCTCTCCAGGGTGCGGTTATCTCTCTTGCTTGTACACTTTTTTCGACCACATCTTTTCCTTCCCTTCGCCTCTCTATTAATGTGCTTGGACACTGAGCTCTGTGAACAGCCAGCCTCTTTAGCGATGACCTTTTGTGTCTTGCCCTCCTTGTGCAAGGTGTCGATGGTCGTCTTTTGGACAACTGTCAAGTCAGCAGTCTTCCCCATGATTGTGTAGCCTATAGAACTAGACTGAAAGACCATTTAAAGGCTTTTGCAGGTGGTTTGAGTTAATTAGCTGATTAGAGTGTGGCACCAGGGGCCATCAATTTTGAACCTTTTCACAATATTCTAATTTTCTGATATGATGAATTTGAGATTTTCATTTGTTGTCATTTGTAATCATCAAAATTAAACAAAATAAACATCTGAAATATATGAGTTTGTATGTAATGTATGAATATAATATACAAGTTTCACTTTTTAAATGGAATTACTGAAATCAATCTACTTTTTCATGATATTCTAATTTTATGACCAGCACCTGTAACTGAAGGTGTTGATGGCAGAGAACCAGCTGATAGTTCCCTCTAGGATGGTGTTAAACAGATGATGACAAGAAAAAGCAGCGATAACATAAAGTTAGGGGTTGAACAAACAAACACTGTAGAATGGGAGAACATATGTAGAATGAAGCAGCATTTCTATATAAGTTAAAAAACAATCTATTGGACTTTGTTTCCAAGTTTGAAGACTTGCAGCAATTAAGTTGACTCCTTCCCGCTAGCATTGCAACCACCAATCCCTTACAGGGGAACAGACGACCTCGCCTGTTCAGCCAGGGCCAACAATTCCCTTTAACGACTCTTCCAGAGACATAGACGTATCGGGTTTTACAGGCTAACAAAAGAAGCCAAACAACCCCCATTCCAAAGGGGTGGACCCGTTCATCCATTTAATTTTGCATGTTTGCATGTATTCATTCCAAAATAGGTTGAAAAACAATCCACTGGACTTTGTTTCCAAGTTTGAAGACGTTTCAGGAAGCCATTTTAATTCAAAATGTCAGAAATAGCATTGAGTTCAAGGCTTTATAACAAGGCTTTGCTGAGCTACTGTATAAAGCCTCGAACTCAACGCCATTTCTGACATTTTGAATTGAGAAATCCTCCTAGATGGGAAGAGAAACGTCTTCAAACTTGGAAACAAAGTCCAGTGTATTCTTTTTTTCAACTTTTTTGGAATGACTATGACCTGCATGACTGAGAATCTTCATCACCAACACTTGGTTAAAGTTGTAGGAAAATGGCCATTCCAATGGTTGCATTTCCGAATTCTCCCGAGTGGTGCCCGACTTTACACGAGTGAATACAGGGAATGTGATTGGTCGTTTGTCAAGAGGGCGGGATTGTTGTGGCGGAAGGTTTGCAAGCATGTTTGGTTGTGGCCGGTTTGTCGGAAGCATCTTGCTAACCAGTTAGCAACTTAGTGCTATTAGGTTCCCAATGGGAAATTCCGTTGGAACCAAGTAGCACTAAATGGGTGACTTAGAAACGACGCTGTCAAGGAACGCTATGGACGGAGGAAACATGCAAGAGGAGGAGAGTTTAGTGTCGGAGGTCGTGGGTGAGTCTCTTCCGGCATCCATTTTTTATTCAGAGGAGGAAAGCGGGGACGAAGATGTTGTGGAAGAGGACGCCAGGGCGGCAGAAGCTTGGTTTGGTGTAGAAGGCTTACAGCCGTACATGTTTGAGCCCTTGCCTCGCAACGCTGGCAGTTCTGTTAGCTCTACGCCTGCCGAAGACACAGACGTCCATCCCCGTGAACATTGGGACGGAACTCAATGGGAAAGGAAATGACTCAGATTTCTTATTTCCGGCGTTGCGTATAGTAGCTGCGACATATGAATCAAGATGCTATGAGCGAAAAGATTTGATTGACAGATGACCGTTGATATATGATTGGACGAATTTAGGTGTTCAAGCTGACGTATAACTAACTGGCCTGCAGAAGATAACGGAAAAAAACATCCAATATCATCTGATAAAGAGTACATTTATATACATGTTTGAGACAGAATGTTTTGACATTTAAATATGATTTCCCAATGACTTTAAAGAAATCAAGTACCAGAATACTGAAGCCAAAAACTTTAGGAACCACTGCTTACAGTAATGTAAAACTTATGATCAACCAGTGACTTATATGTACATACTTGAACCGGAGCTCTTTTATCCTTTTAAAAGGCACTCTGTAAAGTTGCTTCATGTTTAACTGATGCTTTTCTCAATACCCGGTCTATTGTGGAGATACTTATGAAGTTCACATTTCCAAATATTGCATCATCTCCCAGTATTGCAGCATGGAATCGTCTCAGTGTGACTGAGTTATTTGCCAGTACCATATGAAAAATCTCTCTCTTGCTTTAATTTAGAAATTGTCGTCTGACAACCCTGTGAGGATATTATTACCGTTTTTTTCTTTACTTTAACTTTATCACTTATCAGCTGCATCTCTGCACAGTGAGAGGAATACTACCGTAGTACTTTACTCACAATATTAAGAATTCCTTCACGTATTTTCTAATTTTGTCAATTTTATTACTACAACAACCAGTTGAGTTACTGTAAGATAGTGCTTGATAGAAGTACATTCCCGTTTTCCCTGCAAAAAGTTTGGATGATGGAGGAGAGTGTAGAAAGGGGTACATTAAACTAGACTTACCAACCTGCTTCAACCATTTATTACATGGTCTATAATTATGGCTCTAATGGTATCTGTGTGCGCCTTGGCCTCTGGCCCCTAATGATTCACCTTACTACTCATCGCCTTCGTCTTCCTCTTGATCTTGCTTGCAATGGTGTAAATATTGGTAAGCAGTAGAGACTGACATGGGAGTGGATTTTCACTCCTGTCCCGTCCCACTCCCACAGAAAAAAATTGTGTCCCGTCCTGGTGAAATTACTCCCACTCCCATCCCGCTCCCATTCAGAATGACTCCTGCTCCTGCACCACTCCCATTCTTGGTCCCTCCATTGTTTTTTTCGAGCGCGGGTGAAAAACTCAGAGCGGAAGCACTGTTGGTTTTTGGGTCGTGTAGTTTTTTTGACTCGCATTATAGTGTAGGCTTCAAGGGAAAAAAACTACAAAATGGCGGCGCCAGTTCTGGATTTTTTTTCTTTCTATTTTATTTTCTTTTTTGGCATCGATCCTAGTTTTTTTTAGTTACTATTGGTTTGCTCCCGCTCCCGTCTGCTCCCATTAATGTTAAATCCTGTACCGTCCCAATCACGTGATTGTTACCAATACTGACTCCCATCCCACGGGAATCCCGTGACCCGTGGGATTCCCGAAAAAATGTCAGTCTCTAGTAAGCAGAGACAGCATTTGCATACGGGCCCACGACCTCTTAGGGGCCCCATCACTGACACCTCCTGGGTCCCCTACGCAATTGTAGAGCAGGACATCTCTTTGCAGATCTATTGGTACAAAAAAATCCTCTTAAACTCACCTGATACTAGCCTGACGTAGTCCGACTCAATTCTAGTCAGAATATGAGTCTGATACTGCTCCATAGAGCTGTGATTATGGGGCGTGTTTCGAACGAACCAGGAAAAAAAATGCCTCTGCACTCAATTGGATAGACCTACAACCAATAAGAGCAACGGAGTGCGTGACGTATGTTAAGCGAGGCATAGTTGTTGTCCACAAAAATCAAAGCGTGCAGTTTCACGCCTATAATAAGAAGATGAGAGTTGATCGCGTTTCCCTGTTCCTCTTTTAAAATTAATTTGCTGTCGATATCTTCTAGAACAGACCTAATAGCAGAATCTACTCACCTCAACTCTCCAGCGGCAGCCATTGTTGTTGTCACCCAAGCGCGCTTTGGTCACGTGGTTGATTACGTTACTGTTGATCATCTGTCCATCATCGTATAAAGCCCGCCCTGACAATTTGATTGGATTGCCTGACAGTGGGCGATAATACTCGCGCTACTATGGAGCAGAGCCAGACCGAACTTCCCGACCTCAAACTTTGTGGGCGGGACTAAGTTCGGAATGGCACCCAGGCTAACCTGATACTGTAGTGACTAACTCCACCGGACCGTATTTATAGAGCAACACATGCCACATTTCACCAGGTGATGGTTGCAAACTTTCCACCACAAAAACACCACTCTTTTGATAAACAACCAATCATGTTCACTTTATTCACTCGTGTAAAGTCGGGCAGCACTCGGGAGAATTCAGAAATGCAACGGTTTGAACAGCCGTTTCCCTTCGACTTTAAGCATGGTAAATCTGACAAAATCACTCAGATTAGTCTGTCAGGGTCTGGATCTCACTTTCTAACCCTGGTTAGTTCTGTGTCTCTGACTGTAAATAACTGGATGTGCTCTCTTTATCCTCTGACATTGGAGCTGGCTCGGAGCTCACCTGCCTTGCTGTGTGTTTCCTGTGGAGCTGATTCACAGTTGCCTTTTGTATCTATGCTTCTTTTTCTATGTCTGCTTCTGTCTCCTTGAACCCCAGTCGGCCTCAGCAGATGACCGCTCACACTGAGCCTGGTTCTGCTGGAGGTTTCTTCCTGTTAAAAGGGAGTTTTTCTTCTACACTGTCGCTACAAGCATGCTAAGTGTGAGGGATTGCCTTAGAGTCAATGAATCGATGCAATCAACTGGTTTTCCTTAGATAGAAAACTTTGAATCAATTTGACTGGAATATTTGGTTGAATTGTAAAGTGCCTTCAGATGACGTGTTGTTAATTGGCGCTGTATAAACAAACTGAATTGAATAGTTTGGCGTAACATTTTTTAAAGGTTGATATCCAACAAATTTAATAACTCTGTGTCTGTGTCCACTCAGTTGTGTGACCGATCAACCGAAGGCACCATCTACAAATACCAGGCCAGGACTCTAAACGGGAGCCTTGTGAGCTTCGGTGACTTCGCCGGCAAGACCATCCTCTTCGTCAACGTTGCTACATACTGAGGCCTGACCTTTCAGTATGTAGGTAAGAACCTGCACACTGTCTGCTTTGTGAGTGAAACATTGCTCCATTCAGCCTCCTAAATATTTACCTTTTTTTTCCTGGTATCCTCTTTCAGAACTGAATGCACTGCACGATGAGCTGAAGCCCCTCGGCTTCACTATTCTAGGCTTTCCCTGCAACCAGTTTGGCATGCAGGAGCCGGGGCAGAGACGTGAAATCCTGCTGGGTTTAGAGTAAGAAATCTCTTTGTTTTCATGTGCCAATCAAAACCGAGGCAGTAACAAAGAGGAACTCTGTGCAAAACCAAATAACTGAAAGTTAGAAGTGAAAGCTTCCAGGTGAAAGTTTTGTTTCCCTAAATTGCAGCTTTTAAGGAACTTGATACAGCTGTATGCAGGAAGTCAACAGCGTACAAGTATAATACCCTAAATTTGAAGTCTATTAACAACATTTGTAAAACTGATCATAACAGCAGCTGGTTTTATAACTCTTCTGTCAATCAGGCTTTATTTAATTAAAAGGAACGCCTTCTAGTAATTCAATGGCTTTCTTCTTAACGGTATTAAATGTGCTGGATGTCTCCAGTTCCACCAGTCATTATAGGTATTTGCAATAACATCCTGGGGTTTCACTGCCTGAGGGAGCTTTTGGACAGCTGCCATACTGCAAAGTGCTGTGAGCCACGACTGCTGATAAGATGCTGTCTTTCAGGCACGTCAGACCAGGCAACGGATTTGTTCCCAACTTCCAGCTGTTTGAGAAGGGTGACGTAAACGGAAAATCTGAACAACAGGTTTTCACATTCCTCAAAGTAAGTTTCCAGGCTTCAAAAACAATCACTTGGATGAATTATTGTCCTTTAAACCTTAAAGTTATGATCCCGGTACTCTAACTCTGCCTTTTGGGGCTTTTCAGGTGGCTAATTTCTTATCATTTAGAACAGGGGTCTGCAATCTACAATCCAAAGAGACATTCTTTACTTTAATACAGCTAATAAAACTTTTTTTTATTATTTAACATTTTTTTTTTAATGTCCATTTATCTTGTCCTTTTTAAACAACACCTGTACCATTTCAACCTTTAGGCTTTAAAGGAAAAGTCTAGTCAGGCAGGAATAATCAATAGATAATTATTTATACCTAAAAAGGAATGCATTCGTGGTGATTTAATGAATTTAGTGTTAATCAGTATAAAAATAAAAACAATCATTTTCGTGTCGATCCCTGAGTCTGGGAGCGGCCATTTTTGCCAAAATATAGCAACATTTCACTCCTGAAATCTTCCTGCAGTGACGTCACGGTGCCGTAAGCCTAGCGCTATTCTCTCCACTTTACCAGCAAAATCAATGGGAACTACTAGACACATCTGCAATCAGCAACAATTATTGAAGATTTCCAGAGGACTTCACCATTGAAATTCACCAGAGCTATAGTGAAACTGACAATGCCCACGTGCATGGCAGCTGGATGTTGGAATACATCTCCTCATCCTCCTTCAACTCGAGTATTGCATACAGCCTTCCGACAGTGAATGATCAGAGCTTAGCAGTGAAAATGAACATTTTCATTTATAAAATGCAGCAGTGATCAAAATATTATAAATATTATTCCATCATTGGTTTCTTAAATGGAAATAGAAAAATAAATGAAAATATGCTGTCTAAAAATAAAACCATGAAAAGCAGTTTGTTTCTGAGAGTAACTTTGCTGGTTTTCTGATTTCGGTTTTCCAAATTTTTTTTTTTTTCAATTAGTTTTAAACAGTCTAAATTTTTTTTTTAATTTCATTTTGTCCAAAAACCTTTTTTTCTTTCAAATTTCTTTTTCTCATATGATGTTTTACAAATTTCTTTCATTTAAAGATTGCGTTACAGATCCCATTATCCTTGTTTGTGGGGGCGGGTTATCCTCTAGAGCAGAGGTCTTCAACAGGGGGTCCGCGACCCCTAGGGGGTCCGCAGAGGTACTGCATGGGGGTCGCGAAGTTTTGGTTAATTAGACTTATATTCCCCTCTGCAATATTTTCCACTAATTGAAATGTCTTTAAATCCACATTAACATGAATTCAACACACTGTAGTAAACAGATAAATGGAGGCAGAAGATGTCTTTCAGTCATCAATACAGATCTGAGTTTCTGAGTAAAAATAAGTCAAATATCTGACAAGAGTGGAAATTAGAAGATTATATAAAAAATGTTTTGTTATTGTTGTTCCGTAATTGACATTTATGCACTACTTTTGCACGCCACGTATCACCTTACTTGGATTTATTCACTTTAATTGGACTTTTCACTCTATTTGGATTTAGGTTTTTACATATACATAGATATACGTACAGATATATATATAGAAGAGCTATATGTGTATATATATTTTATCTCTTTTTATTCTTATTTTTTATCTTTATTATATTGTATAGTTGGATGTGTGTATATATCATGTAAAACTGTAACTAGAGCGTGTAACAAAAGTAATTTCCCTCTGGGATTATTAAAGTATTTCTGATTCTGATTCTGATTCCAATAAGTTTAATAGTAAGAACAGAAACATAGACTCTAGATTTTTTTAGTTCTTCAAAAAGTCAGAGAAAGAATATCAAGATTTGACGCATAAAATATCTAAAAACATGGTGCATCAAGAGCAAGCGTTTGTATTGGACTTGAAGTTAGAAGAATATGATCTCAAATGAAATTTGAAAAGAATGCAGTTCATAAAACTTGGATCTGTATGACGGAAATTTAAATCAAAGAATTTTGAAATATAATCTGTAAAAAACTAAATCTGAAAAATACAGTTAAAAAAAATCTGAGAAAACAGTTACTCTCAAACCCTTTTATCAAAAATATTTAGCATATTTTCATTTCTGAATTGCATTTTTTTTTTCAAATTTCCATTTATAAAACTTCTTTTGTCCTTGCAATAATAATGTATGTATGCAAAATGCATTGCTGTAGGTCTTTTGAATTAGAATGGCCTAGTCAAAGTCAAACCCAAACTGCAATCTGTAACCTGTGGCCCTCTGAGCTGTAGCTAATTCTCTGCCTCTCACCCACATCATTGCTTTGCTCCTTTTCCTGCCATCCAGAGCTCCTGCCCTCCTGTCGGGGACGACTTTGGCGCTCCTAATGGCAGATTGTTCTGGGAGCCCATTCGAACCGGCGACATTAAGTGGAATTTCGAGAAGTTTTTGGTGGGACCTGACGGAAAGGCGGTGATGAGATGGCATCCCCACGTCAACGTGTCTACAGTCCGAACCGACATCCGCAATTACCTTCTTCAGCTCATCACGCGAGAAATCCTGAATTAAGTGCGATGTGTTTTTAATCTTTCCTTTTAGAATGATTTTAGCCAGTCAGACCACTGTAGAGATCAGACAGCAGATACGTTGGTAATGTGACAGTTTCTAATACATGAAGATGACATGTTGAATGAAGAGGAGGCTTGAAAACAGTAAGACTGTAAGGCCTCCTTGGAGTCTGGGGGGTGCAGGAAAGCTTTTCAGTGCATTCAAGCTGCCCTGTAATCCCACAGCACCATGACATCTTCTCACCCCAGGATCTGTCTGCCATTACAGCAACATCTGTCTGTTTTAAGCTTCAATAAATCATTAAAAGCAACATTGATGTGCAGACCTTTCTTCCAGAGCAACAAACTTTTAGCCAGACTCTGCAAGCTTGGAATAAGTGACTCTGTCTCTCAGACAGAACACAATGGGCCGGATTTATCAAGATCCAATTTTGCGTGCAGTAATTTGCGCTCGCAAAGTGGAATTTTGCGCGAGGGGCTGAACCATGGTTTGCGGGTGATTTAACAAGAGCGATTGCGTAACTGGTGGCAGGTGCAAAACTGTTGGAGACGCCCTATTTAAATGATGGTTTTGCGCGTTTTGTGGTTTGCGGCAAAGTAGTTTGTAGTTTGTGCAAACTAGTGCATTAAGAAATTTTTATCTTACAGTGACACCACCCCCTCCAAAAAAAGAAATATATATATATATATATATATATATATATATATATATATATATATATATATATATATATATATATATATATATATATATATATAAACTTTGGCAACCTTTATTCCCTAAGGTGGTATGTGGCTGAATTTCTACTTCACCGCAGTAAGAAAAAAACAAACAAACAAAAAAAAAACAGGTGTTTTGTATCGGCCTGTAGAAAAATGCACATACCAAATGGCTCACAAGAAGTGACTGTGGATAAGATGACTGCATTGGCATGTTGCTCCACAGGCGCAGGGGGGAGGTCGGGGTTCTCCGGTAGGGCGTCAGGGCGACATGGCATTTAGAACGTCGGACAGCACTTCTGAAAAACGAGATTGGGAGATCCCAGATGCAAAAAAGTGCAATGTTGCAAGGAGTTTCGTGATATCTGGTATTGCGTGGGTCCTCCTTGTGGCTGGCTCCAAATCCATTCGGAGTTCCCCCAGCAGCTCCAAAATGGCAATGCTGGATAAACGATATGTTTTGATGATCGTTTCCTCGTTCATTCCAAAAATATTCACATGGAGTGAAAAAATGCGTTCTCTGCGTCTCCTTGCTTCATTTCGATGTCTCCTTCTTGCGACAATAACCGCTGCCATGTGTGCGCAATTACGCATACAGACCATTTGCACCTTCTTTTGAAACGTGTTAAATATAGAGTCAGATACCGTTAGCAAAATTGCTTTCAGGTTTGATAAATCACTTTGCGAGTGCTAAATTAATATATTTACATGTTCTCCTCCCACAAGACGCACTTTTGCGTGTAAACGCCCCACATTGCATATTCATTGCAGAAAAAGTACTAAATGGATAAGAGACGCTATTTAGCACGTTTTAAAGACCAAATCCTTTTAGCACGCTGTTGATAGATCAGTTTGTACATTCTTTAGCGTGCGCGGTGAAATAGCTCACGTTTTGATACACGCAAACCTTTGATAGATCCGGCCCAATGTATCTACATGGACAGACTTAAAACTGACTTTTTGGAAGTGACTAAGGGAGTTCCTCAAGGTTCAATTTTGGCACCTGCCCTGTTCACTATTTTTATAAATGACATTGGAAATAACTTGAAATCTGTTAAATTTCGCCTCTATGCTGATGACACCATAATATATTCAATTGCCTCTTTAGTTAACATTGCTTTGAATGATCTTCAGTTCCTAAAATGTAAAATGTTGGTCCTAATTGTAAAAAAAGACAAAATTTATGACATTCACTAAAGCTTGCTCCCAAAACTCACAGCATCACGGCATTAAGACCTTAAGTGGAGAAGCAATTGAGATTGTGTCCTGTTATAAGTACCTGGGTATCTGGATAGACGACAACTTGTCTTTCACAACACATTTAGATAATATGTTAAAAAAGCTGAGAGCCCTGCTCGGCTTTTACTACAGAGAAAAATCTTCTTTGATTCCCTCAGTGGGGAAAAGACTTGTTCAGACCACCTTCTTTCCTGTTCTGGATTATGGAGACATCATATATATGAATGCTGCCTCCTCAGCTCTCCACTCCCTGGATATAGTTTATCACAGTGCTTTACGTTTCATCACCAACTCTGCCTTCAGGACTCATCATTGTGAACTGTATGCTCTGGTTTCTTGGCCCTCTCTAAGCCTCAGAAGACAACATCATTGGCTTACTTTCATTTACAAGGCCATCCTGGGTAAAATCCCTCCATACCTGTGTCACCTCATGTTGTGTTCTTTACAATATTCCCAGGATCAACACAGATCTTGGAAAAACATCATTTTTCTATGCAGCACCATGGTCATGGCACGATATTCAAAACTCCCTGCAATTACGGACTCTCATTCCGCTACAGCATTTTAAATCACTATTGAAAATTGATTGCACAGAGAATTGTAATTGTTATTCTACACTGCAAAAATGATCTAGAAATAAGTAAAAATTTCTTAAATTAAGTGTATTCACCCTTAATTTGAGTAGATAAATGAGATAGTTTGCCAATGGAATTAGTAATTTTACTCTTAAAATAAGATAATTAGATAATATGCACTTGAAATAAGACAATGCACTGGCGTTTTCTTATTTTAAGTGTAAATTGTCTTGTTCCATTGGCAAAATGCCTCTTTTACCTCCTCAATTGAAGAACAAATGCACTTATTTTAAGAAAAAATGACTAATCTAGATTCCGATTTTTTGCAGTTTAGAGTCTAGTTTATGGTTTATTTTATTATGTTGTCGTGTGTTCCTATATGTCTTACTCTACTGCAGCGTCTTGGCCAGGTCTCCCTCAAAGAGATTTTATCTCAAGGGACTTCCTGGTAAAATAAAGGTTAGAAAAATAAAAGAAAAAACTCCACAGAGCGGCGGGACAACAAAAAACTGAATAAGGAAGGAAAGACATTTAGAATAGATTTATTAAGCCAGTCAAATACAAAATGTCTCACATGTGCTTTTTGCTAACGGCAAAAAAAAAAAAAAAAAACCAAAAACACTATAAACCAGAAAAATACACCTATCAGGAATTACAGCATACCTTTGAAAGTGCAGCTCAGCTGACGTCTCAGTTCTCACCTATGGAATATTTTGTTCCCCGAAACGTTCAAACTCACACAAAACTGAGCTAAAGTCCAATCTTCCGCAATCTGAAGCCCTTCGTCTAACTACTTTAAATACCTTCTACATTATTGAATTTTTGAGATTGGTTTAACCCAATAAAAAAAAAAAGAAAAACCTATTTCCAAAGTGTTGAACCTGCACTGTGCCACTAGGTCTTCTGACTGCAGGTTAATCCCTCGGGAATGGATTTCTGGTTGTCGACGCGGACCGTAAGCATTCAGACACCCCGGCAGAGAGCTCCAGTTAAGCCTGAATCGGACCCAAATCCCTCCTGCTGCCTCTGAGATTTTAAAGTTCTGTTTCCTAACTGCGTGTTGAGGCTACGGTGAAAACGGTACAGGATGCCGTAAAATGAGCATAAATGCGTGGTATGACCGAGTAGAAGTGTCGTTTAATGAGATTAGGTCCATCATCATGTATAAAGGAAAGAAAAAAAAAAAAAAAAAAAGGAAGTTGTGTAAGTAATGTGCATTGTGTATTGTGTCTGATACAAACATACAATGTCAATAGCTACAATATATTGGGATTACACTAACAACATAGAAAGAACAGCATTACTAAAGACAATGATTTACACTTAGGCAATGCAACTATCAAAACAGCAGGTTATAAATAAATTATTAGTAATCACAATCCTGTTTTTTGATATACCATAAAAAAAAAATAAAAATCACCCCCCCTCCCCAATTTTTTTTGTATTTCAACAACCACTTTTGAACAGTTACACATATTAGACGTTTCTAGAACATCGATGGCACTGTAGAAATCCTCATAAATCAATTTACTTTCACATTATTTACCTCTATGATTTATTGTACCTATATAATCATCATTCAGCGCTGCAATGAGCTCGTGTTATATTCGTTTTAGGGGAATGGCTTCCAGGAACCCTACAAGTTAAGTGTTAAGGTGTTACATACTTGCAGAGAGACAATTACATGGGTAGATTTTTGTGGAAGGGAAAAATAAAACAAAATGTAATGTTGATTTTTCAAAACTGGTTTAACAAAAAGGACTTCAGTTCCAGATAAAAAAAAAATCTAAATAATATGTATATATTTATATATATTCAGAATAGCGAAGTGTTTCACAAATAGCCTTATAAAACGCAAGTATAAACAACATTACAATAGGATATCTACAGTTCAGTAGGAAAATTATATCTCAATCACACCTTGTCAACTCAAAGACAGTTTTCATGCTACTACCCAGACTCCATCAGATGGGTACGGTGATGTTTTAGTGCTTTCCGGGGTCTATGTTCTGTCTCTCTCTTTTACCAAACCCTGTTGCTGTTGCTGCTGCCGACTGATCTACAAAAAGAAAACAAAACAGGACAAAGCTGCGTTACGGTCGACCCACAAAACTAGGCCTGATTTACAGTTTTGAGTCCAATACGTCGTGTGCTTTTGCAGGTCTTTTTCGTCTGGGGAATTCCAAAAAGTGCATTGCAAAAGTATTCATTTCCCGTGTGCTTAATAGCATTTCGACACTGCATCGCTGTGGTTATTTCATGAATTTGAAATAAAAAAAAAGATATTTTTTGTAGTTTCTTTGTTAGCACAACTCAAAGTCTGTAATCAGTACATGAAAATAGAAACTTTAAAGAACCGCATTTAGAAAGATAATTGTGATCTCATGTAAATGTACCAGAAAATAAAGGAATGTAGCTTAAAATAAGTAGGTGTAACATTTATAAATGTATCTAAGATATGATTTAAATAAAAAAAACACAATTAAATACCTAAATTTCAAGTTCAAATGTAAAAAAGAAAACTTGAACTATGAATTACATCAGCAACATGATTCAAATATTAGATATGTCATAAAATTATAAAATGCACAATAATGTTTACTTAAAAAAAAAAGAAAAAGAAATTCAAAATCAGGTATAAAATCATAAATGACTGTGAATGACTATGACCTGGATGGCTGAGAATCTTTACCAGCACAAGTAGATTATAATAAATAAATAGTGAAATATTTCTGTTATTTAAGGGGGTCAAAGGTTGAAATGTTTGGGAACCAATG